TTCATAGTCTCCAGGTGATATTGGATACATGTGCAGAGCTGGTATTATGTTGGCTGTTTCATCTGGGTATAAAAATGATTTAGTGTGTACCCAGCACGCAGTGTCATTGACTAGCTTTAATTTCACTGCAAGGGTGGGCTTTATTACTCCGCTACTCTGTGAGTGAGTGAGTGAGTGAGTGTGTGTGGGTGTGTGTGTTGAGAGAGAGAAAAGAGAGATGAGAGAGAGAGAGAGAGAGAGAGAGAGAGAGACAGAGAGAGAGAATGAATGCTTCGGTACATATATATTTGTGTGTTTTCATGCTCGCTGGTATAGCAGCATGCCACACCTGTGCACACACATGCACCTCTGCATATCTCTGTATATCTCTCCATTCCTGCTGTATATCCAGCATCTTCAGCATGTAATTACCATTCAATGGAAGAATCAACTAAACCAACATGTGGAACAGGTCTCACATCACACTCAGGCTGAACCGGTGGTCCCAGTGCAAGAAACAGAGGGGCTCCACTTTGCCGTGACAAACCTTACTTCTGATCAAATGCTACAGAGCCATAATCATGTTTGTGCCACTGAATTCTTTAACCTTTCAATGACCCCGCTGAATGCCAGCGGCCCAATCATAGAACCTAATTGAATCTGCTTGGCGGCGCCCCCCCCCCCGACTGATGAAAAAATAAAATTGGAGGTGAAAAATGAATACAGCAGCAGCAGAGAGAGAGGGGAGAGGAAAGAGAGAGAGAGAAGGAGGGAGGTGATGCTGGTGGAGGGGGGTGGGGGTTGTGGGGGTGTCACACCGCAGTTTTATAAATACACAGATGTGCTCACAAACACACACCCAGTCACGTACACACCGTCACACCTTTTTCAATCCCGCAGGAGAGTGAGGAGTGGGAAATGACAGAGAGAGAGAGAGAGGTAGAGAGTGAGAGAGAGAGGGAGAGAGAGAGAGGGGTTGGGCCCAGGTTTCTCATTACCCCCTCGGCCCATTCGGAGGATATTCCTATAAGATAATCTGATTTATTTGCAATTTTCCTTTAAGCGGCTTAGTGTTTACCTCCAAGATTAATATTTTTCTCTGTTATTAATATCAGACTGTAATTAGGAGTGATGTGTCTTGCTCTGCACAGTTCCGTGGCCGCCAGGCAGCTCGCTGGATGAAACTCTTGTTGCGACTCTGTGATCCTGATAAAAAAAAAAGAAAGAAAAGAGAAGGAAGTTTTAAAAGGAAGAAAGAGGCTGCAGGGTGGGGATGTAGAATTACAATTGCGGCATACCTTTCTTTGTGTCTACGGTGTGTGCAGGACCATACAAATATGTGAGTGTGTATTTCTTTAGTTTATGTGCACCGCGTGTGTGACAGTGTGATGGTCCCCTCTGATTGATAAGGTGTCTGTGCCGGCTGCAGATTGCTCTTGCTGATTGCTTCTGAGAGCTCCAGCTGATTTATAATCAGAGCAGGATGAAGGATTGAGCTGTGGATTGCTTATCTGTTTAGCCCCCTCACAACATAAACTGACAAATTATCATGTTGAACACACACACACATACACACGCAGACACACACACGTGAAAGAAAAAACAAAACGTAATAATGTGGACCTTCTTATTAAACTCACACAGACACACTATCATATGAACAGAATTTTGCAGACAAACACACACACACACTCTCTGGCCACACAAAACATAAACACGTTTATTTATCCACGCAGTCACATTTTCATGATTGCCCAAAAGAGTGCAATCAGTCTCATTTGTTTACATGTCAACATCAGATATATGTAAGTCAACTTAAGTTGCAATTAACTTGTTTTATGCACTTAGAGTTTTGATTTGCTCCTTGCTGAAGAATGATTTGGAAGATTCTGCACCAATGATCAAGGACGTGGATCTTTTGGGTTTTTGTATTTTGTATTTTTTTTTTTTGTTGACACACACTCACTGCTTATTTTACCTGATTTTTAACAGCTTTTCTGTTTCCGCATTTCCACACACCCCTGATATCAGCACAGTGGCTTAAACGCCTAAGACAATATAATATACATACTTTAATTGTGCCAGGTGAAGAGATTATGATTGTGTTACATATTATAGTTATCTAGTATAACTAAACTAAACTAACTGTTTGTTGTTTTTGATAAAGAGGCTGGCATATTATGTGAGACTAATTCCACTTGGCAAGCCAGAGTACAAGCTAGCAGGTTTAAATGCTGACAGGTTTAGTATGCCCTATGGCACTGTGACAGTTCTGAGAGAGAGAGAGAGAGAGAGTGGGTGTGTGTGTGTGTGTGTGTGTGTTTCTCTGTCTTCCTGTCTTTCTCTCCTTTCCCATTCTTACCTGTCTGTCTGATTATCTTACTTTCTCTCTTTTCACCACAGTTGTTTGTAAATGCACAGTGACAGAATCACAAAAGAAGCAGAAAAACACAAAGTACAGGAACACTTGTTATACAGACACACGCACACACACACACACACACACTGACGAATGGCAGCAATTAGATGGGGAAACCAAGCATGTGAGGACAGAGGAGCGCTGAGGGGCTGCAACCGCTGTATGGAACGTGTGTGTGCGCTTGTTGTATGTGTTTGTGTATTTGGAAGGTTTTTATCCTTCTAATGCACCATCCATCTGTCTAAATATCAACACTGTCTCATATGTCACTGGACAGCGGCTGTGGCTGTGGTGCAGTTAACATTTGCAATCAAGTACCAAATAAGAAAAGGATTGGACTACAACATTATCACTTTGCAAAAATTAATTGCTCATGGGACTAAGGCTGGAGCAGAAATGCTTTTGTATTTGGCAGCAGCCACACTCCTGTACAAAAACGCTGCAGACAGAAAAGAACAGAAATGCTTGTAATTTCTGTTTTCTCTTGCTCTGGTTCCATGTCGGCCTACTGAGTTGTTTAACCCATTGACACTGAGACCTTGAGTTTTCTCAGCCCTTCTACGTGCTTCCCATTGGAAGAATAACTTTCCAACTCCAGTCAGAGCAGCAGTCACTTCTCATCTTCCCCTTTATTGTGAGAATTCATCTTTTCAAGAAATACCTCACAGCAGCCTCTCCTCTCCAAATCAATGACAACTCTATCCGCCCCAATTGCCATGTAATAAACAAATTTCTATCCTTACCTAGTCCTGTATCTTTTCTAGGATTTCTCTGCTTTTATTAAACAATTTGATGGCTTTTTACTTACATGTCATCACAGACTTAATGTGCAGGTAATATGGTCTTGTCTCTTAATCATTTTCAGGCCATGGAGGTTGATTTCTTTTATCTCCTGTTTCATATTTTTCCCAACCCTGCGTTAGTGCTAGATGAGATGGCAGTACAGAATTGCATATTTGAAAGTCGCTATTCATAATATACAGTAGTCAAGTAATAAAACAAAGTCATGCCAGATTTATTTATATAAAAAGATTTAAGAAACATTGTAAAAACTGTGTGCATAACATTTAAAAACAAACTCATATTGACAACACCGGTGACTTGTTTCCCATGCTTCACAGATGTGAAGAGGGCTACATAATCCAACTTTCCTAAAACATATCATGTGTCTGTCAGTTTTTTTTTTATTGCAAGTATTTGTGGAGGGTGTGATGTGCGTGAGAGCACATTTGTGTGGCTTTGTGTTATTAATGGTTTTGCCTTCATGCCAACTTTTTGCTGGTCTGATTTATTCTCTCCTCTCTGGGATTGTGCAGATTTTACAAGCAGGTGTATGTGTGCGCGTGCGTAGATTTGTATTTACGGCCAGAAGAGATGTGTGTTAGACACAGCTACTGATGAATAACCTCACTTCTGATTGCTTACATCACAAATCATCCCCATATTATAACCCTTCTAATGCAAATAAGTGGCACTGTGTGTGTGTGTGTGTGTGTGTGTGTGTGTGTGTGTGTTGCCAGAGAGACTATCAACTAGTCGCTGTCGCTACAAAATAATGCACGCTGTTATTTACATATAAAACTAAATGGTAACACTCAAGTTTTATATATGTGTGTGTGTGTGTGCGTGTGTGGTAACCCTGTATCGCTGGCGAGCTCATTTCTCTCAGAAATCAAAGTTAAATGGGTCATCTATCATGAGAATATGTGACTGGGACACTTCTCTGCCACGTGTGTGTGCGCAAATATGCACACAAATGCAAGGTGTGTGGTGCTCGGGCAGCTGTGTGCACTCTCTCTTGGCGTGTGCACATGTCTGTGTGCGTGCATGTGTGTATGTGCCGGCCACTTGTCTTTGCCTGCGCTATGATTAATGGTTTACATTGGGCTGTTCAGCCATGCATGTTTCTTGGTTTATCGTTTTATGCTGTCTCCAATTAAAGCTCCATAACTTGAGTGATGGCTTCACGCCAGTGTCCATCAATAGAGGCCATCAGCGGCCTTATGCATTCAGGATATGGAAGCCACACACTAACTAATATCCTCTTGTGTCAGAGCCAGTGGGCAGTCTGTGTGTGTGAATATGCAGATACCTGTGTGTGTGTGTGTGTGTGTGTGTGTGTGTGTGTGTGTATTGAAAAATATCGATTTTAACTGATAACCAATAACCCTCTCGAGTAAATCTAGTTGTACTTCTTAAAATCTTATCTTAAAAGAAATTGGATAAATTGCCAGAGGGGTAAAATAATACCACTTTTTAAAATCTAATCAATATTAATCATCAAGTCAATTAATCATCCTGATCAAGTGGAATCTTCTCATCCTAATGGCAGTTTCTGTCTTTTATTTGACATTATAAGGAAAGCAGAACTGAAAGTCTTTATACAGTAATAAGAGAAGCCTAATTGTTTGCAGTGTGCATGCATGCAGAATTTTGCATCTGCGTGTGTGGAGGTCTGCTCAAGGAAAGTAGTAGGTGATACATACATCTGGACGCGTGAGCTTGTTCATGTGTGCACCACACAGTCATGCACGCGCCGCGTAATATCATTTCACGCAATATTATTTCTCATATAGCCATAATGACATTAGGCCGATATGTTGATTATACTGTCGGCAAACAGCAGCCCGTTGATTGGGTTAGCATATTACCTTATATCACATCTCTCCATTCATCCCTGTGCTTTTTTTTTATTGCCCTCATTTTTCCAAATCACTTCCCACTTTCCCAGTTTCCTGGGCGAGGTTCCAGGCTATGCAAGCAGGTGATGTGGAGTAATATGATGATAGGAAGGCACAACAATGCAAGAGAGGAAAAACTAAAACCTGAGAGCAGCTGTTGTTGTTACATGTCTGAATGTAGGACAAAGCCTAGTTGTAAGATAGCAAAGTGTGCGAATGCAGGGGTTAATAAATATTGAATCACGCTGACAAAAACACAAATGTACGATGCAGGTTGAGTGTGTGATGGTTTCCGGTCAGCATGTGTTTTGAATAAAGGAAAGTAAGAACTGCAGATTGGTAAGGAAAAATAGGGTGTGATTTAGTGAAGACCCAGAATAAGTAGGGGGGTAGGGAGGCAGGAGGCAGAGAGATATTTCAGCGTGGGCTACTCAAATTGTTAGAGAGAATGAGATTTCATTTGCAGTTGGGACATTGAGTGATGACACCCGTGGTGTGTCTCTGTTTGTGTTTGTTTGTGTCCTATATTCACATAAAATATACACACACATACGGTACGTATATGAGGTGTGTATATATAGTACAAACCGCAGGATTGCTCTCAGGATTGGTGTGTATTTCTTCTCTGTGTGTCAGTTCCCTCTTAAACACCAGCCTCTAAGCTCAGTGGCAAAAATCAAAATCACTAGAAAACACACTACAACAGTATAGATTCACCTCTCTTCCCCTTCTCCCTGGCCAACGTGTACACACATACTGTATACACTCAAACATGGATTTCATTATTAACCAGGGGGAAACCAACTCTACACAAAACACCACAGGCAATATTTATGGTATGGTGAAACAGAGACTTTTGGTGTTGTTTGACTCTCAACACAGCCATATGAGCATGTCTAACTGTCAAGATAGGAAATTTCACTGCAAATTACTAATGGTGTTATTGGATATTTGCACCACATGTGCAGGTAATGATTTAACCATGCATAGTGTACAGTAGGACACACAGGCAGTAAATGGAAAAAAGATAACACTAACAATAACTCACATCAGCCATCGCTAATATATAGGCTGCTACACCATGTCATGGCTATATGACACTTGGAGAAAAATGAACTGTGGTTATCTGGAAATTAAAAAAAGGGACTGATTTAATATTCAGCTGTGGCTGAAGGGGCTGGGGGTAGGGAAAAAAGGCGGACGTATGGATGGGGGAGGGGGTGGAGGAGATGAAGACGGAGGAAATTAATCAGTGGTATCATCTCCATGGGAGTTTAGCTAACCACCGACCTCAGCGCTTTATCAGCCTATGAGGGAGCTTCTACTGTGGCTTCTGCCATAACAAACCAAACCCACCAAATCACTGTGTGTGCATGTGACTTCCACACAAAGACACACACTCGAACAGAAATCACACATCAGGCTTACAAGCCCTTCACCTTCAGACAAGACCTGTGTCATCAAAATTCCCACTGCGTCTGTTTAGACTCAAGCATCATTTCTGCTTGTATGTACAGTTGGTATAATACTCTCCATCCATATGTATATGGGCAGTATCTGTATTGTCTGTTGGGTGTGTGCAGGGTGAAAAAAAAAATCATGGTAACAATCTCAGTCTAACGTGTTATTTTGTCCTCGTATCAGGATAACTGTCATGTTTCACAATAGAGGATCTTTGTGTGAAGACAGAAGCAAAGAAGTGGACAATGCCACAACTTTGTCGACAGTCTATGACATTAAATTAATATGAACCACTAACTGTGTTCCAGGCCAAGGCCAAAATGGTGTCTTTGAGGTGCGAGCTCACCGCCTTATTTGATAGAACGATGGAGAAGAAAGAGGCGAGGATAAACCAACTAACTGAAGAGCTGAATGGAGTGAATCAAAAGGTGAGATTGCAAGGGCACACAAAAACATGCTTCAGATGCTTTTGTTTAATGCTACGTGTTACAAATTCTGAAATGAATGTGTCCTGTTGTTAGACTCTAAAAAATTATTATTGCTGCATACCCATAGTACTATGTTTGCGAGTGTAGACTTATTGGGAGCAAACTCAGTATTTTTCTTCTCAGAGCTTTTTTTTGTCACACATACAGATACACACATGAATGTATAATAATGAGAATCTTTGGAGCAAATAAAAAATTGTACTGCATTGAGAAGCTTTGGCTAACATTACTGGTTGACCCCTGGGATTCCGTTAGCTAATTTAACTATACTATGATAGCACTTCAATCAGTTTTCCACCCACTTATTTTGTACCATTTCAATTATACAGATTACCAATGCTGCTAGAGCTTATTGAGCTGTACTTTTGATTCAAAGGCACACCGGCCCACTGAGGAACAAGCGCTGACAGAAATACACACACAAACACACAAGCACACACCACTTGATCTGCATATCATTACGCTTTTGATCGAATGCCAAGGTTTCTCAGAGAAAGACATCAGAGTCAAATGGAGCGAGCATGTACACAACACCTGTAGGATTTGTGTGTGTGTGTGAGAAGTAAATAACTAATGAACCTTTATTCTGGCCTGGCTCTTTGCTCAACCATCGATCCACTCCCAACAAAATCTTATTCTTACTCCCACAAGGCTAACTAAATAACATGTGGGCCTATAAAAGCCTCATTACAAAATAGCGCCCTCCCGGCTGCTCATCTTTTTACTTATCAATATCAATATTTAGCCCCAAACCCTCTCTCTCCATCTTCTTTCTCTCCTCTCCTCTGTCATAAAAAACTCTGCCAATCTTCTCTCAAATATACCCATCTCTCTAATCTCATCAAAACGAAATACACCTAAAACCAATAGCATGAAACGCTCTTTTCTTTACTACTATAACCCTCTGTAAGATTAAAAAAAACCAAACCAAAAAACAACCAAACCCCTTTGCTCTACCACAACAAAATCAAATCCCATCACAATTTTCAACATAAGATCACATTAAAAATCTCCATTCTTTGTCCTCAACAACATGAGAATAAGTCCATATATTTCATAGTTAAAAAAAAACTGTTAAAAATACCTGATGAGAGGTGACTTCTGGTCAATCAAGGGATTTACACAAACAGCGCTTCTAACCTTTTCTCTTACTTCACTTCCAAATAACCATTAAGGATAGGGCAGAAACATAATTGGATGGTGCACGAAGGAAAAGAAAGAATAGGATAAGAGGAACTAAAGGAAACGGAGGAGAGGGGGAAACCCGCGCGCGCCGGTGAGGGGAGGGCGTTAAGGGAAGGGGACCCCAAAGGGTGGGACTTAATTGGCTTTTAAACAAAAAACAAATAATGCACGGATTCATAAAAGTAAGACTTGAAATTATCAGGATATGAAGGTTTCTCTTACATTTCTAATAGGGACTTACTAAATCTGTTTATGGAAGGGTCCAGGCTCAAGCTTTCTAAATATTGAAATAAAAAAGAATCAACAAAATTTAACTAGTCGTATACATTTCTATTTACTATCACGCAAACTTATCAACATCCAAAGTCCTATAAATTTCCCCACTGGAAGGATTAAGACTAACAACAACAACAAGAAAAATTAAAAAGCCACACACCACATGGAGACTTTAATCATCTTCTTGTAAAAGGTGGAAACCACAGGAATCTTGAGGAAGAAGACGAATACACGTATGCAAAATTAAGAATGATTAAGTAAAAACGATAGAGAAAAAATAGAAAATTTAAGAGTTCTGAAACAAACAAAGGTCCAAGTGCCCATAGGAACCTTGAGGGGCTAATAAAGAGAGAAATTTTACAACCAGACCGATCGCTCGTCTTGGGTACTTTTTATTAACTAGATGCCTCGTTGGGATTAAACATCAAATAACAATCAGTGGGACACAGTACCTGGAGACGTGCCTCCCGCAGGTTTGTGAAGAAATTCACCACACTCAATCGACACTTTGTGAATTGTTTCGAGCTATCGCAATAAAAATACAACTAACAACAGCAACCAATCAGAAGTCTAGAAATTTAGAACCAAATTGGAATGTAACGTCACAAAAATGCCACAGAATCAAAGTATTTCTTCAGAGAATCGAATTTCTTACCTTATAGGTGGCAAGGGACACCTAAAAATAAACCTAATACAGACAGCTGTATTATTAAATGTGTTTATAATCTATACTCTTACTTAATATCCTAGAAGTGTTAGAAATTACAAAACTAAGTACGCAGAACAAAGTTATAGGATTAGCATGCTTTGATACTTCTATTTGAATGTTCACAAGAAAAACAAACTTCTTAAAAACAAGGTATCATTGAGAGGAAACCACTAGGTCAACAGCCTGAATTATTACCCACCACAACTCGGTGGATGACAAAACCTCAAGACGCCATGTTCACTCTTTTCCTAATGAACTACATGTCAAACAAATCCGGCAAACAAAACCACATACCCTAGCTTACCTTTTCTGGGCAAAATCATCGCAATAAAATTTCACCGTTCGGAGGCATGGAAATAGTAATGGTCACATCCATAGGCCAATTAACTCAATTTAACTACAAGCACAAAGCCGATAGTGTATTGACCAACAGTATGAGGCGAACTTCCCAAGAATACCTCCTTTGAGATTCAAATTTACAAGGACCAAACATTAACATGAAAAATGGATATTGAAATGACACAATTAGAATAACTTTTACTTGACCCCAAAGGGGTATATTATAAACAACTTTTTGTGAATATGACTGTGTTGTCCAGCTAAAATGTTATAAGTTGTTATATAGGATAAAAGGGTGACTTTATTTTTCGTTGCCTTGCCAGGTCTTCAGAACTTGCAAAGTACCAAATCAAACACATCAGTTACCAGTGTACTCGACTTTAAACTTTTTTTTTAACTTTTGCAAATTTTCTGAAAGTGATACTTTTATCTTTTCGGGCCTTTATTGCCTGTTTAACAAGTGACAGGAAAGTGGGTAGAACGAGAGGGATGACACAGCAAAGCGGGCCCACAGGTCAGAGGTCGAACACCACATCACTGGCTGCCACAAGGACCCCTAGCCCTTAGCAAATTGGGCACAACCCAGGGGTCCAAGATCTAATCCAGGGGCCGGGGCCCCTATGACATTAATCACATTTTTAAATACGCACATGCTCACAGTATAGGCTGTGTGCACACATGTTAATAAACCTATGATGATATGGATCGATGGTTGATATCATAGAGTAATACTTGTATGTATGTATTTGGATCATAGATATCAGATTAAAGCCAGGGTAACTTTAGGAGGATACCGGAATGTATCTAATAACGTTGGCTAGCATTGGTATGGTAATAATATTTAAAAATACGGGTATGAAAAATGTTTCTCTCTTTGCTATCATTAATCGTTTTTATCTGAATCCTCCTTGCGGCACCAGTCCATCGGTCCCTTACGCAAATATCTGTGCCCCGCACTCTGCTCAATATTGGTTCGAGACTTGGCCTGAAGGTTGCTGCATAATTCCCCACACCCCATTATCTGTCTCCAGTTTTTGTAAAACTTACTTTATCTTCCGCCAATTAGTCACACTACAAATTTGGTGGAATCATCCAGATAAAAAGAGTAATTGTTAATTCAGGTCGCAATACTGGCTGGGCCCCATTGCTTTAACTAATTGTTCACCATCCATTAGCCGTGCTGTGGATGATGTAACTGCTAAAAAGACACCTTTAGGACCTCACTGTATACAAGATACTTGGTTCTGGATGGTAGTATTATACTGATAGTCTGGAGAGGCTCACGGGGTGAAGGAGGCACGAGGTTGAGCTGTGTCAGGTTGCCAAGACACCTGGAGTCCAGACACCAGTCTGCTGTTAGAGGAGTGGGCAAGAGGAGTCTTGAGACGCGATCAGGAAAGTTAAGAGAACGTCCACTGCACTGGTAGGCTACTGGCTACTATTGGCGTGTGTATTGCGGGTGTATCATAGTGTACTTCACAATGTCTAACATGACCGGTAAAAATTACGATCCATAGGTCTTGATATGTGTAAGGGGCCTGTGCTACGATGTGGTATCTGGCATGTCCGCCTCATCACGTGTAGAGACAAGTGGTGTGTTTGTAGTAGTGTGACTGTACTGCTCGAGCGCACTCACTACCTAATCATAACACAAAGGGGCTCATTAACACATGCTAATGCAAACTGGATATAAGCGGGTCTTTGTTTCGGGCAATCAGGGTGGTCTGAACCACAAGGCCCACAACATCACATCCAATGCATGGGGTGGAAGGGGTTAAACCAACTGTACTGCTCTTCCTTAACGACATAATCAAAGCTTACAATCGTTCCCCAATCGAATTAACTGAAAGCCATTAATTTATGTACATTCCACACACATAGCAACTGTTAGTTTGTTTTTGTTTGCAAGGAGTGTACTAAGCATCACGAACACTGTTTATGCGTTAATTGGGAGTACTCTACGCTGGACAAAAAAAATCGCGGTCTGTCCTGTTATGCGTTACAGGGTTATGCATTTTTGAGTTGAATGATTCAGAAAATAATTGGATCTGTGCTCAAGTTTTCACGTTAGCTTCTATTCTATAAAGAATAGGACTTAATTGGAAGAACAATGAGAATTATCTTAGCTACAACAATATTGTTTGGACAGACTTGCCCACCACGTGGTTGAGTTATAGAACTGTGCCTCTAGAGATCGCAGCACACAACGAACTAAATTACTTCCTAAAGCAAAACCCAGAATATCTTCTTGGCATAACTTAAACAGCTCACTCCACCAGTTGGTTTCTAATACATAATAAAGAAAGACAGGTGATCTTGTACGGTAGGTCTTGCCCCAAAAACAACCACAATTGACTTCCTTAGTGGACTAAATAGTCATTAGTTACACAATTACACAGTGACCACTAAAGTTGTTGCCACGGGTTTCATGATATTAAAAATTCTCCTAATCATTATTCTTAAATACGTACCCCACAATAAAATAGATCTAACTATCTTTAATCAGTCCTGATTAAAGGCCATGACATAAACCTATGGCTAACGCGGTATAAATAATTCACTGAATGTGATCTGGGAACCAGAAACAACCACTCACACAAAGGAGGACTTTGTTCATATTCCTATGCTATCAAAGCATACACCACTGAATAACATCACCACTGATCAAACACACAGAAACAAAATACAACACTCATTCAGCACTGTCATAAAATCCTAAATACAAACAAAAAACAACTGTGTGGCAAACTGTCATCGAAACAGGATGCGGGGGGGGCCCCGATGGGGAGTGCGTGCGGATAGGATTACAGCTTACTCGACAAAGTCAAGACGAGCAAGTGTTATCTCAAGAATGGGCCACGGATCAATCGGGCCCAATTAGCATCAGCCAAAGGGGGCCGAGTCAAGGATACTAGTCAACCAAACTTAAAAAAGGACAAAAAATAAGTGACATCATAATTATTAGCCATAATTGTGACATATGCCTGAGAAAAGAAACGATTAGCTTTGACAAAAGAAAAAGGCTACAACAAAATTCACTTCTCCTAACAGCCACTCATACTGGAAGTACAAATATATTCTAGGACGTTTCAGGTGCGAAGTATCAGCTGCTTAACATCTGAGGAACAGAAAAACCTACAACAGAAGAAACTACAATAATCAATGGGTTAAGAATAAGTTAAATTCTTTATTTTTTTTTTATTCTTTATAATTTTTATCTTTCTTATCTCTTAATTATTTTAATTTAACATTTTTAACTTGTCTACTGCGATTATAGTTTAACAAAATTTCATTTATTATAAAAAATTTTTTTTTGATATAGAAGATTAAAAAAAACTCTCAATTAAAAAAATTATTCTTATTTTTATAATATTTTACTAATGTTTTTTTAAAAATTATTAAATTCTTTAATTACGTTTTAGCTAACAATAAGGCTATGTTATTTATGGTACTTTATGTATTGCCAAACTTCTTTTAAGGTCTTATGATAGAACCCAAAGGGCCAGGTATAAAGACACTACCTTTAGGACTGTATGTAAGTAATTACCCAGTAAACATAATATATCCTGTTACATACAGTAAGCAAAACACTTTCATGTTGGTGTGTGTGTGTGTGTGTTGTGTGTCGTATTGTGTGATGTGTGTGTGTGACCTGTGTGTAGTTTTAGCATGAAAGGAGGAAAGCAAGAGCATGTTTGAGGCGAGCCCGGACCAGGGATGTGGTTGGTTTGCGAAGCCCTTCACACAGCGACCCACTCTCTAACAGGAGATAACCTTTTGCCTATGAAGGAGAACACACACAACATACCCAGTGCGTTCCAACAGACAACACCACAGCTCAACAGAAAGTTGGCTTCACTGCAGGGAGCAAGTTAGGTAACACACACACACACTCACACTCTCTCTCTTCTCCTCTCTCTCTCTCTCTCTCTTCTCTCTCTCACCTCACACACACACA